TTTGGCTTTTTTGCTGATTAATTGGAGATAAGAATTTCATGGACTTTTCTGTCCAGGCTGCTGTGGCTCAAGTGGTAGAGCGCTCGCCTTGTGCTGAAGAGCTGAGGGACAGCGCCCAGGCCCAGAGTTCAAGCCCCATGACCGACCAAAAAAAAAAAAAAAGAAATCATATTGACATTTTATAGGAAATTAGATGCTCCTTCTATCAAATAACAATTAATTTCTATTGTTTTTGTTTCCCTTTAAGTTTTGTAGGTTCTGGTTCAGCAAAGCATTTACTTATTTGCTTGTTCATTCATTCCTCATGATTTACTGGATGTTGGTAGCGACTCAATCATTGTAACAGGGACAGGATGGATTTAAGACAAATTTCTGAGTGTTAAGTCCCAAATCAGAGCTCAGTTGCTTGGCTACTGCAGATTCTGAGGTTCAGAAAGATGGCACAGTCTTTTTTCTCTGTGACCACAGCTCCCAAGCCAGAGTTGGAAATAGCTGCATTAGCAGCCTGGGTGCTGCTGGCTCACACTTAGAATTCTAGCTACTTAGGAGGCTGAAATCTGAGGATAATGGTTTGGAACACTCAGGCAGACAAATATGAGAGACTCTAATCTCCAAGTAGCCAGCAAAAATTCAGAAGTGGAATTATGGCTCAAAGGGTAGAACACCACTTTTGAGGGAAAAAAAAAAAGGTCCAGGACTGAAGTAAAAAAAAAAAAAAGAGTAATGCAGGAGCTGGTATTTACTAGCTAGATCCTCCATAGTAGGTCATGAATAAATACATTAATTAGTGTGTAAATTAAGTCTAGTTGATAAACTAAAGAACTCCAGCCTAGTACAAGTAATCCAAGATCTCACCAAGGAATAAAGGCAATGTTTAAGTCAAACTCACCTCCATTGCCCTCTGAAAAACATTTAGAAGTTATTCTCTGTGGTGTGCATTTCTTTTTTTCTGATGTGTCATTATTATTATTATTGTTGTTGTTGTTGTTTAATATTTCTTCCAGTCCTTTGTTGGGGTTATGGCACTTCTGAGTGGACTGATGACACTGAATCTTCCAGAAATGGTGGGGAAGCTGCTGGCAGCTTTGAGGACAGAAGCACAACTTGAGCATGTTATTTCTCACAGCCAGTCATATTGGGTTGGAGAGCCTGGAAGTGATCGGCCTGGAGGATTCTGTGCTCTCTGTGCTGAGCTGTACTTGCCATGTTGTTTACATTAAGTCCCGTGTATCAGAGGAATATTCTTTACATCTCTTACATGTTGTTTATGTGTCTTTCTAAATAATGAAAACTTGTAAGAAAGTCTTAAGTCACTGTTTAATAAAAGTAAACATAATAAAAACCAAGATGAAATTTCTCCTTTTTCAGAAACTGCTTTATTTCTGCAAACAGTTTTTCCCTATTCACTCCATCTAAGTTATAGATGTCCTTCCCGACCCTTCTAGGCCTGAAGGATACCATCTGCCCGCCTGCTACCTGAGCCGGGAAGATGGCACATGAGAGTGTTTCTTTTGACAAAACCCTTGAAAATTCTATTTCTGATATTCTCCTCTCCCCATGTGAGACCGTTATAGCTCTACAAACAGGCCTTTTTTTTTTTTTTCAGAAAAGCCCTGTCTGAGTAGAATTACAAAAAAGGTGGCTTGCTTTCTAACATGCTGGGCTACAAAGGCTTTGAAAGCACAGACCAGTGTGCTCATGTCTGGTGCAGTGAAGGAGCTCCTGCCAGAGTGGCAGGACCATTTTAATCTGGTACTTTCTTTCTTCTAAGTTTACTGATTTTTTTCTGTGAATCTTCACCAGCCAGGGGCTCATGGCTCATGGTTGTAATCCTAGCTATCCAGAAAGCTGAGATCATAGTTCACAGCTAGCCAGGGCAGAAAAATTTGCAAGACTATTATCTCTAACTAACCAGCACAAAGCCAAAATGGAGGTGTGGCACAAGTGGTAGAGCATTCTCCTTGAGCAAAAAAGCTCAGAGACAATGTTCAGGTCCTGAGTTCGTCCTAGTAGTGGCATGCATAAATAAAAAGTAAATAAACAAAGTCTCACAGTACAGAGAAGTCATGGCATTTTAGGGCACTGTAAGCTTTGTCAGTTAGCAGATCATCAAGAAAACTGATTTTAAGTTCCATCTGAATCTGTTACCAATGAAATAATTTTGTTTTTTGATGGTTGTGGGGCTTGAACTCTGGGCCTGGGCACTTTCCCTGAGCTCTTCAGCTCAAGGCCAGCGCTCTACCGCTTGAGCCACAGTGCCACTTGCCGTTTTCTGGTGGTTTATTGGAGGTAAGAGTTTCATGGACTTTCCTGCCTGGGCTGGCTTTGAACTACAATCTTTAGATCTCAGCCTTCTTAGTAGCTCACAGATCTAAGCCACCGGCACCTCGCTGAAATGAATTTTGTGAGTAGTTTTGCCTTTTGAAGGTAAGTTGCATAGAGAGTTGACTCTGTAATTAATTAATTTTTTGTGCTGTCCTGGGGCTTCAACTCAGAGCCTGGGCACTGTCCCTGAGCTTTATCACTCAAGGCTAGTGCTCTACTTCTTGGGCCACAGCTCCATTTCCAGCTTTCTGGTGGTTAATTTAAGATGAGTTTGTTTCATAGACTTTTCTGCCTGGCTTTAAGCCATGATTCTCAGATCTCAGCCTCATGAGTAGCTAGGCTTACAGGGATGAGACACCAACACCTAGCTAGATTTTACTCTTTATAATAATTTTTCCTTAACTTTACTTAAAACTGTAATTTTCTAAAAAATAGTTTATGGTCCTAGACATTTCAACTGTAAATGTGATAAGCTGATCTGTTATAAGACTGTATTTTTTTGGGGGGGGGGTCCTGGGGCTTGAACTCAGGGCCTAGGCACTGTCCCTGAGCTTTTGTGCTCAAGGCTGGTGCTTACCACTGAGCCATAGTTCCACTTCTAGCTTTTTTCTTTTTCTTTTCTCTTCTTTTTCTTTCTTTTTTTTTTGTGGTTAATTGGAGATAAGAGTCTCATAGGGGGCTGGGAAGGTGGCTCAGTGGCAGAGTACTTGCGTTGTGTGCATGAGGCCCTGGGTTCGATTCCTCAGCACCACATAAGCAGAAAAAGGTGGAAGTGGTGTTGTGGCTCAAGTGGTAAAGTGCTAGCCTTGAGCTGAAGAGCTGAAGGACAGTGCCCAGGCCCAGAGTTCAGGCCCCATGACCGACCCCAAAAAAAAAAAAATTAGAGTCTCACAGACTTTGCTTCCTGGACTGGCTTCCAACTGTGATCCTCAGATCTCAGCCTCCTGAGTAGCTAGGATTTTATGCATGAGCTACCAGTGTCAGCTGGGGGTTAGTTTGAGGGGATATAAATATTCAGGCTATAGAAAGCATCTATGTCTGAAATATTCCAGGTAGTTTTTTTTTGTTGTTGTTGTTGTCGGTCGTGGGGCCTGAACTCTGAGCATGGGCGCTGTCCCTCAGCTCTTCAGCTCAAGGCTAACGCTCTACCACTTGAGCCACAGTGCCACTTCTGGCCTTTTTCTGCTTATGTGGCACTGAGGAATCGAACCCAGAAACTCATGCATGCAAAGCAGGCACTCTACCACTGAGCCACCTTCCCAGTCCATATCCCAGGTAGTTTTAGTAACTGGACACTGACTGATAAGAGATACATAGATGTCAAAGTGGTGCACTGGTTAAAAATTAGAACTTTGGAGTCTGATATGCAAGATGAACTTTACTGATAAGAAACCCTGGGGCCTGGTGCAGGTGACTTACCCTGTAATCCTAGCTATTAAGGAGGATGAGATCTGAGGATCATTGTTTGAAGCCAACCCAAGCAGGAAAGTCCGTGAGACTGTTATCTCCTATAAACCACCAGAGAACTGGAAGTGGTGCTATGGCTCAAAGTGATAAAACACTAACCTTGAGCAAAAGAGCTCTGAGACAGTGCCTAGGCCCTGAATTCAAGCCCCATGGTCCACAACCTCACATGCTCCCCACTCCCCCAGACAAAAAAATCTTAGGCCCTTTTTATTGCTTTGGAGCATCAATGTACTCATCTAGAAAATGTGTGCAGACCACACAGGGTGGTTGTGTTATATGGTCTCCTGCTCATAGTTATTGCTAAATATTTGATACTTCTTAGAATACTATTATCACTATATGGATACCTCAAATTGTTTCCCTAGAAACAACTGATTTTTGTTGTTGTTGTTGTTGGTCATGAGCCACAGTGCCTGGCGAAACAACTGATTTTTAAAATGCCAGTGCTTGGGTGAATATGATTTAAGTATATTATACATATGTATAAAATAGCATAATAAAATCCACTAAAGCCAGTTAAAAAGGGGAAGGAGGTAAGAAAGTAAGAGAAGGGGTGAATTTGATTAAGTATATTACATGCATGTATGGAAATATAATTAATTTATGTCCTAAAAATCCAAAATACAATAAGGTACCCTATGCCTACCACACAATTTATACTCAGCAGACACTGGGTCCCTTCTTGAAATATTTGAGTTCTTGCCTAGGCTAGCTCCTAAATAAGTTTCCAGCTAGAATCAGGACAAGCCGCCGTCTTTGTGAAATACATGGCCCTTGGCCCCCTGCTCTCCCAGCCTCCACAGCTGACCAGTGGAGCCAGGCACCCCCTGGGAAATAGCAGCCAATTCTGGGCAGTGCAATAAGATAATGGGTGCTTGCCTCCAGCCAGAACTTGTTGGAAGTTGGACATGCTACTCACTATTTACTGCACAAATAAATCAGTGGAAGAAATCCTTGACTGGTATTGGGACTGGAAGGGTCTTGTAGGGCAGACAGAGAAGAGGATGAACCAGCCTCTGTGGGCTTGGCAGAGATGAGGTCACTTGTTCCTTTTCTCTGGGGAATCAGTGGCACACACAGTTGCATGGGCCAATGGCGAGTTCGGTTAGAGGGAATGTCCTTAATAAATTCCCCAATGAGAAGCAGTTTTGCTTTCCTTCTGTCTCCAGGGCACCAGACCATCCAGTCAGTGGAAAACAAGGGTTGGTGCCAGGGCCTGCGGAGGGATCTGAGGCTGCCTTCTCAGTCAGGTACTTGACTCCTTTTGCCTTTGGCTTAGGGGTTGTTCTGTCCAGACTTGGTGAGTGTCTAAGTGGGATCTAGGACACGGATCGACAGGTCACAGTGCCAGGCCACACTGTCTTGCTTGTATACTCCTTGCTCTCTCAGCAGCTGGTTATTCTTAGCCACAGATTACCTCCCATCTCAACTTAATTGACTGGAGCTACTTTGAGAAAGTTGCTGGGCAGGGGAGGTTGATATAAAATCTTGAAGTGAGGAAGGTTCAGCAGTTGTCTCTTATATCCAGGCAATACAGACAGGACTGTGACCTTCAGGTTTTTGTCACTGGACCACCCCATGCTCTGGTCCCTTCCTTGTATTCCCTCTGTACCAGCAGCAGTCCAAGTCCTTCTTAGCTTGCCGGTCCATCAGATTAGCTAGCTGCTGAGTTTGGAAATGCTGTAATGCTCAAGGAATGGGAGTGCTACACATTAAGTTACACTAGAGGGCTTCCAAGCCTGCAAGTGTGAGAGACCTTTAGAGCCAGAAAAGGAGGCAGTGCCCTCTGACAGCCAAGCCCCAGGATGTTTGTGCTGCCCACAGCTTCTCCTGGGCAAAGGTGATTCTCAGTGTGTGGTGGCCTTGGCTGGTACCACGTGACCCAATGCCTTCACTGTTGCTCTTTGTATTCAGAAGGGTGAGTGTGCCAAAAGCAGATTTATAGGCAGACTTAGCTTAATCAAATGGCCAGATACTAGAACTTTGCTCAGTAAAATAGCAGTGGGCAACCAGAGCAATTGTATTTTCTTTCTCTGGATCTAAGCTTGAGCCAGACACAGTGCAGGTACAGATGTGGTAAGTCAAGCAAGGAAGCCAACGTAGGCAGGGAGGCTGGCAAGGAAGCAGCAAACTGGGGACTCCCGTGCCAGGGAGAGGGGTGGGAGGGAGGGTGGGAGGCCTTCGCCAGTCTCTAAGTCCACACAGGCCCTCCACCTCGAATTTTCACATGCATCCTCACAAAGAGCTCCTTTAGGAGACAGCATTGGTGGGTTTCTCTTAGTGACCACACAGGGAAGTTAAACAAATTCTTCTGCCAGGTGCTGGTGGCTCATCTCTGTAAACGGGGATCTGAGGAGTGAGGTTCAAAGTCAGACTGGGAAGAAATATTTGTGAGTGGGGGCTGGGAAGGTGGCTCAGTGGTAGAGCACTTGCCTTGCATGCTCGAGGCCTTGGGTTCAATTCCTCAGCACCACATAAGGAAAAAGCCGGAAGTGGCGCTGTGGCTCAAGTGGTAGAGCGCTAGCCTTGAGCTGAAGAGCTGAGGGACAGCGCCTAGGCCCAGAGTTCAGGCCCCATGACCGGACCCCCCCCCAAAAAAAAAAGAAAGAAAGAAAGAAAAAAGAAATATCTGTGAGACGATATCTTTTCTCCAATTAACCACCAAAAAAGCCAGAAGTGAAGGTGTGGCTCAAGTGGTAGAGTGCTAGCCTTGAGCAAATAAGCTAAAGGACAGCACTCAAACCTCTGAGTTCAAGCCCTAGTTCAACCCCTTTCTGCCCTCCCCCGAGAAAGAACTCATCTGATCTGTTTAACAAATGAGGGGGTTGAGGCAGACTGGAACACCTGTTTCCTTATTTTGGAAGCATACTGTCCAATGTGGCTGTCCAGGCCTGGGGGCCAGTACCCAGGTAAAGTGATAGGAGAGGAGGTGGGAGGCAGAGAGTTGGTTTCTAGGGAGAGAGGAATGGGAGAGGAGTTCAGTCACACTGTAATGTCATTGTTATCCAAAACAAGTGCAGACAGAGCCCGATTTGAGTTCTAAGTTGCTCAGCGTCTTGCCCTCTTACGGCTAACTCCCCAGTGGGTTTGGGGAACAACCATTACAGCTCTGCTGCCTCCGGGTCTTGCCTACTTCACCAACCCTCCTGAGGCTGTGTGCACAGAATCCTGGTTCAGGAAAGGGTAGAATGAGTGGAAATCTCCCCCCCCAAAAAACCCAGACCTCCTTCTGGGGTTGTGTGCTAAAAGCAAATAAGTTGTCTGATTTTGTACTAATATCGAAATGGTGATAGAAGTCTCGTTGTCCATTTCTTGCTGTTTAATGCAAAGAGAGTATTGATTGATTTATGTATTTTGGTGCTGGTAATTAGGGCCTGTTGTACTCAGGGTCTGGGTGCTGTCCCTTAGCTTTTTTGCTCAAGGCTGGTGTTCTAGCATTTCAGCCCCACCTCCACTAATGGCTTTTTGGTAGTTAATGGGAGCTAAGAGTCTCAAGGACTTTCGTGCCCAGACTGGCTTTGAAGCAGACCTCAGCCACCTGAGTAGTGGGGATTATAAACCTGAGCCATTGGTTCCCAGCTTATAAAAAGAGTTAAAATTAAAGGTTTATTACACAAGAACTATCAGCAGGAAGTACTATTGTGAGAGAGAACGAGCAGTGAAGGACAAACTCTGAGTGGATGAAATGATCCTAAAACAAGGTGCTCAGCCCTCACCTCTCTCCTCACAGGCCCATGGACACGGCCCGGGTTGCAGTTGTGGGAGCAGGCGTGATAGGGCTCTCTACTGCCCAGTGTATCTCCCAGCTGGTGCCTCGATGCTCCGTCACTGTCATCGCAGACAAGTTTACTCCTCACACCACCAGTGACGTGGCAGCCGGAATACTTATTCCTCATGCATATCCAGGTGAGAGTGGGGTTTCAGCTCTGACAGATGTTAAATTGAGCAAGCGATGTCAATGAGCAGTGCTAACAACTGGTAATCTAAAGCTTTCCACTGATAGCAGTAATGACCAGTAGGACTACTTGTGAATGGAACTAGAATTCTCCTCATGCAAGAAATAGCTTAGACATCAGGTAATGAGTGCCTTTCTTATTGGACAATGTCCCTACTTCCTTCACTCTCTCCCAGTGTTTCCCTCCCATTCTGGCATACAAGGTATATATTGTTCATTTACTAATAACAGTTTTGTTTTGTTTTTGTTTTTTGATTGGTCCTGGGGCTTGAACTCTGAGCCTGGGTGCTGTCCTTCAGCTCTTCAGCTCAAGACTAATGCTCTACCACTTGAGCCACAGTGCCACTTCTGGTTTTTTAGTGGTTAACTGGAGATGAGTCTCACAGACTTCCTGCCCCGGCTGGCTTTGAACCATGATTGTCAGATCTTAGCCTCCTGAGTAGCTAGGATTACAGGTATGAGCCACTGGCACCTGGATACTAGTAACAGTTTTAATTTTTTTTTCCTGGTGTTCTCAAACCACTACTAGGACTTGAACTCATAACCTGTCCCATAGCTTTTTTTCCCCCTCAGGGCTAGTGCTCTATTCCCAGCTTTCTGGTGGTTAATTGGAGATAAGAGTGTCATAGACTTTCCTGTCCTGGCTATCTTCAGATCTCAGCCTTCTGAGTAGCTAAGATTACAGATGGAGCAGGTAGAACCCAGCTCTTTTTTTGTTGTTGTTGTTTAATCTCAGTTTTCATGTTAGAAGGCTTCCTTGGCTGGGTGGGAATCTTGACCTGTCCTCTGATTTGTATGGATGGGACCAGAAGCAGCAGGAGCTGGTATTTCTTATTGCTTGCCTGGAGCTTGTTGCCTGTGACCCTGGCTAGAATGCGGTGCAGGATTGTTTAATTGGGAGCGCTGAGGTAATTATGTTCTTATAGTTCTTCCTGGGCAGGCCAGGTTCCCCAGGGAAGAGGTATCACGTTTCTGCTTAGGGAGGGCAAAAGTCTGGATGCCAGCATTAGAAGAGGAATGCCAGGCAGAGGAGGAAGAGGCTTGGTTTTCGTATTCAGTTGGCCCTTGTTTCCTGATCCTCTCTTGTTTTCAGCCAGGATGGAGAAGGCTATGGTCTTGGCACTGCAGTCTGGAAACATGGCTGTGTCAGCATGGGATGGCGGTACAGCCTGGCAAAGGCTTTGCAGGAGACAAACCTGAAGTCTTGTGCATTTTCCAGATGCTAGTTCCCGTTGGCTTGCCTTCTTGTGGCCAGAGTTCTGGGATCCATTTCTCAGAGCCCTTTTTGCTTGGACCAGCCTGAGTAAGCGGTCTGAAGGTGGCCTGGGGTCATGGAATCACCTTCAAAAGGAGGCTTATCTGAGGGCTCATCAACTCTGTGGCTAGACGACTGGGAAGTTCTAGGCCAGCATCTGTCTTTCTCGCTTCACTACGGCCTTCTCCTTGAGCTTTTTTGCCAGATATAACTCGGACCGATAATAAAGACCTGTCCACAATTGCCAGTACCACATGGAAGCACCCCTCCTGCATAGGGATGTATTTAAGAGCTTTAGTATGTGTGCAGCACATAGAAGAGTGCCCAGTGCGTAAGCAACGCTGCATCAGCAATTGCTGTTTTTCTTGCCACTCCCAGTGACAGGTTTGTTTGATCTGCACTTGAACATGAATTAGGTCACCAGGCCTGCTCAGTTGGAATTGTCTATTCTTTTTGGGATGACTTCTGCTACATGAGAATCTCAGGCAGTATTTTGCTCTTCAGTTTGGGGTGTGAACATTTCCCTATGGCCTTCCTCACTGGGGGAGGGCTGTGGGGGGATAATGCACTGAACATCTAACATAGTTCTCTCTGCAGCTGTTATTTATTTCCTCTCTTATTGCTAAACCAGCTACAATTCTGGAATACAGTGTTGCGTTCACACAGGTACCCACTTAATGATGATCACATAGAACTACTATTTAGGAAATATTTATTGGCTCTTTAAAAAGTGAATTATTTTATTTATTTATTTTTATTTTTGCCAGTCCTCTCTAAAAAGTGAATTATTTTATTTATATTTTTATTTTTGCCAGTCCTGGGGCTTGAGCTCAGGGCCTGGGTACTGTTCCTGAGCTTCTTTTGCTCAAAATTAGTGCTCTACCACTTGAGCCACAGCACCATTTCTGGCTTTTATCTGGTACTGAGGAATTGAACCTAGGGCTTTGTGCATGCTAGGCAAGCACTCTACCACTAAGCCACATTCCCAGACCATGCAAATTATTTTAAAATCCTGCAGCTGACATGCCCTCATTGATCTGGAGATTCTGGGTGGGATATCGCCATTTCCACTTGTTTGGTGACAGTCCCAGGGACAGTTTTTGCCTCTATTCCCTTGTGTCATCTCTAGCCATCATTTGTAGCCCCTTGGGATCACTCTTTCCCAGGCCCTGGATATGCCCTCCAGACCCTTTCATAGAATCAGGTGGCCAAATGTCTTGTTCACACTTGGACTGGACTGGATTGTGATTCTTTTGGCTTGCAATGGACACTTTTATTTTGGGGCTCAAACCAGGCCTCTTTTTTTCCTCTCTAACAGGCTGGTACCATCCCAGCAGCTTGGCCTTTTGGGCATGAATGCCTGGGGAATGGTGTGGTCTCCACATACCCCGCTGACCTTGGACTATGATTCCATTATGGGGGAGGAGTAACATCAGGAAATCTGGGTGCAGAGTTTGTCTCCATAATGCAGGTCTTATTTCTTTATACCAGGAGGGGGACCCTATGAGCTTTCCATAGTTCTGCAGTCTGTTTTCTGTCCTGGGGCCCACAGGCACCCCACCCTCACTATTACTGAACCTATATTCAGCCCCCCCCGAAAGAGACCCTCAATTCTTTTTCCTTTTTTTGCAGTTACGGGGCCTGCTGGATCCCTTAGCTATAAACTCACTTCTGGTCAAGCTGTCTACAGATCCTTCAAGAACCTTGGGAATGTACCTTGTGCCAAAATCTGCCTTCCAGCTGGCTCTGGTGTCAGGACTTTCCTGCTTGGCCTGTGCCATTCCACTGGCCGATCACTGTACAAGCTGATTTGGTCAGAAGGTGTTATCACTCACAACTCTAGTCTCTGAAGCATCTTTTACCTCTGTGGGGTATTTTATCCAACTGTGCCTCCATGTCTCCTCATTTCCCCCTGGTTTCTAGGATGGAGTTTATTCTGTCCCACTTTGTTCTCTCCTCCCCCCCCACTCCAGACACACCTGTTCCCGTGGTGAAGCGGTGGTTTAGAGACACCTTCATTCACCTGTCTGCAATCGCTAGGTCAGCAGAAGCTGTGGATGCTGGTGTTCATCTGGTGTCTGGGTAAGAGAAAGAATCACAGTATTTACAGCAACATGGACAGATATGAGAAAGCAACATAGAATATTTATTGAGTATCTGCAGTGAGCAGATTGCAGAATTACAGGTGGAAGAATTTACAAGGACATGATTCTATTTTTAAAACAATGCATGACCCTTGCAGTTTTTAATCATAAATATTTTTTGAGTTTCCTCAGCAAATATGCAGGGATTTGAAAGTATGGAGGAAAACCCCCAAATCCCCACAAAACAGATAAACCCTGCACCAGGTTCTGTGGGAAATGGGGTGGCTAATGGAAAGTGGACAGGTATGAAACTGAAATGGATGCAGAGCCCAAGGGCACAGTGACATCTGACTTTATTTGGGGTCCTTATTTGGATAATGAGGTGTTCCAAAGAGTAAAAGTTTTGGTTCACTAAAGTTGGCTTTTGAAGTGCCATTTGGAAAAAAATTCAGAAGTGATCAGCACACTTGTATTAATTGTTAGCATGTGATTTTAAGAGACATGAATTGAAAAATAAATCCAATTTAACATTTAGAACACAAACTAGCACTTAAATCAACAGTGTATTTGTATATTTTTTAAGCAGAATTTGATTCTATTACTTTTTTTTCTTGTGTCAGTCCTAGGGCTTGAACTCAGGGCCTAGGTGCGGTCCCTGAGCTTTTCTGTTCAAGGCTAATGCTTTACCATTTAAGCCACAGCTTCATTTCCAGCTTCTTGGTGATGAATTATAGCTAAGAGTTAAACTGCTATCCTCAGATCTCAGCTGCCTGGGTAGCTAGTATTATAGATGTGAGCCACCAGCACCCAACTTCATTCTATGCTATAATCCTGATTTTTAAAACAATAGTTATCACATAGTATATGTTCACTTAATAGTCATTGAAGTGAAGAGCGAATCAAGTATATATGCATTTATATTTTATCTTTTTTTTTTTTTTTGCTGGTTGTGGGGCCTGAACTCTGGGCCTGGGTGCTGTCCCCCAGCTCTTCAACTCAAGGTTAGCGCCCTACCACTTGAGCCACAGTGCCACTTCCTGCTTTTTTTCTTTTTGCTTATGTGGTGCTGAGGAATCGAACCCAGGGCCTCATGTATGCAAGGCAAGCACTCTACCACTGAACCACCTTCCCAGCTATAATTTATCTTGTCACATTAAATTCCTTAGCACTCTACTCTTAGGAATTCAATGAGGTAAGAAGACCATGCAGTGAGCATCAGTTATAACTTCCCAGGGACTGCTTTGAATGAAGTATTTAAAAATAGAAGTACTGGTATGTGAATGACTATGTGAGTAGTACTCAGATTTGTCCCTTGCTCTTTTAGAGCAACTGTGGCCATGTTTACCCAGGGAAACCATCCAATATTTACAAATGCAAGCATATGCATAGCACAATTGGTAGCTTCTTGTTAATCCCCAGTATCCCAGCTCATCTGCTTAGCCATGCTATGACCCAAGATTTGGCTCCGCTGGCCAACTCTTAGCTGCTCTCCAGTCCTAGAGCTAAGCTTGACCACCTCAACCTCCCTAGGTTTGTACCCATGTTTTCTGCACACTTGTGCATTCTTCCAAGTCAGTTATTTTGTTCAAAATGGAGACTAACCTTTGAACTTTTCATGTGTTACTTACAATGTATGTGAAATGTTGTCCAAATGAAAGAAAAAAACTTCCCCTAAAATGCACTGCCATAAAATCTAGGCAAAAGCTTTTTAGAAAAAGTGAAACAAGGGCTGGGAACGTGGCTCAGTGGTAGAGCGCTTGCCTTGCATGCCTGAGGCCCTGGGTTTGATTCCTCAGCACCACATAAGCAAAAAGAAAAAAGCTGGAAGTGGCGCTGTGGCTCAAGTGGTAGAGCGCTAGCCTTGAGCTGAAGAGCTGAGGAACAGCACCCAGGCCCAGAGTTCAGACCCCACAACCGGACCCCCCAAAAAAAGAAAGAATAAAAAAAGAAAAAGTGAAACAATTTGATGGCAAGTTTTATTTATATTCTTTAATTCATTCATCTATCATGCTGGCGATAGAACTTAGGACCTCATGAGCATGCTAAGCACAGGCTCCACCTCAGAGATAAACCTGACACATTACATTTTAAATGTCTTATTCTCCCAATCATTAACATTTGCAATTTAACTATTCAAGTTATCTGATCAGGAGAATGAAAAACTCTATCTTTTTCTCTTTGTGTTTGTAGGAAGTAAATGTTCCTTTTAGTTTTTTCACCCTGCAATAGATATGTATTAGATATATTAGAAAAAAAGAAATGTATGTCTTCACAAAATTTCTGGAAGAATTCTCCTCTTCTTGTGTTCGAGTTGGCAGATATTTCAGAGCATCCCTGCAGAAGAAGTGCCATTTTGGGCTGATGTGGTTCTGGGATTTCGAAAGATGACTGAGGCTGAACTACAGAGATTTCCTCAACACGTGTTTGGACAGACTTTTACAACTCTCAAGTGTGAGACTTCTGCCTATCTCCCATGGTTGGAGAAAAGGTGGGTTGGAATGGGACTTGAGGCTCTTGCTGCTTTGTCTGTCCTCATGTAGAACCTGTATAACTCTTCATAAAACACATATTCCAGAGTCTTTGGGGCCCCACTGGGCTCTTTTTCATGATGTCTTACCAAATGGCTAGGGCTTTGTTAAGCAGTCTGCATACATGTTTGTGTGGTTTGGCAAGTCAGCTTTTTGGGGGGAGGAAGGTATTGGAGTGTGAACTCAAGGCCTCATGTGTTTGCTTAGCTCTTTTTGTGCTTAAGGCTGGCACTCTACCACTTGAGCCACACCTCCACTACTAGATTTTTGCTGGTTAATTGCAGATAAGAGTCTCATGGACTTCTCTGCCCAGGCTGGCTCTGAACTGTGATTCTTATATCTTAGCTTCCACAGTAGCTAAGATTACTGGTGTGAGCCACCAATGGCAGCCCTTTCAAGTCTATTTTTCGTGTGCACCAGGATGCCCTCCTGTCCTCTATTCTTCTAGGAAAAAACCCATTAATTGAAACAGGATCTTGATTTCCTTGTTTGAAAAATGGTGAGGTTGGATACTTTGCTTTAAAATGATAAGATTAACTTTAGCTCTTGGGATGAGAAAAATCTTATCCTTAGTATAACTTATTTTTAATTTGTTTCCTCATTTGCAGTAAAAAGTGGCTTGGTTATTTTCTTTTGTCATGAATAAGAACACTAACATTGAGGGTTTATCCAAGTTATATAATTGCTTCCTTACTAAATTCAGCCCTTAATACCTTGAACTTGCATTTTTGGCTTGGCTCCCAGGAGTTCCTTTTTTGTAATAAATTAGTATACACATCAAGAGAATTTTGGAGACTGCACTCAGCTCAAGGCGCGCATTACAGGACAAGGAGCTCAGCCTGATGAACTCCTCAGGCAGGGCACGTGGCAGCAAGGGGGTGGGTGGGACACCTGGAGCTCAATCTGTGGGCACAGCCACACGCCTCCTTCCAGGGCAGCCCCAGATGGGCAGTCACACAATCCCTGCCTGTTCTTCTCACTCAGGGCCTGTTCTGGCGCCTCCTACGCTCTTCCACACAATATGAGTGTTCAGCCTTCCGTGTTCTGACTCAAAAATGAGCATTTTGCTCAGTGAGCCAAAGAGATGGCGTTAGCTCAGCATCTTCTGAAATGACACCAGTTCCCAGGAAAAAGAGATATTTTTATTACAAATTAGATATTTTTTTTAAATGGAAAGATAATCTCCTTCTCAATACCCAATAACATTGAGAACCAATCAACCAGCAAAATCCCTGAGATTTTAATCAACCACGCAGGTCATATTTTGTATATTCAAACAGTAGAGTCATGTTTCTTGTGTTTTTTTTTTCTTTTTTTGGTACTAGGGATCAAATCCAGGATGCTAGGAAAGCATTTTGCCACTGAGCAACAGCCCAGCTCTGTTCTGCCACTTTTAAACTTACCCCCTCTAGGAAATGAATCGGAGAGGTAATAAGTCTTCCTCCAGGCAGCTTACTTAAGTAAATTCTTTGGAGGGACTGAGTTTTCCTGTCTTTGGTGACCTCCAGAAACTAGGTAGCTCTTTTCTATGCTGGGTGCTGGTAGCTTAAGTCTTTCTAAGAGACTAGGCCTTGTCCTGTGACTTTGAAGAGACCACTTTGACTACAGCACTGATTACCATGCCTCCATGGTTCTTCTGTATCATCTAACCTGCTTTCTGTGGCCTCTCTCTTGTTTTTTTTTGTCCCCCATCTTTTTCTTCTCTAGCTTATGTTCTCCCACCTGCCCTGACTCCTGTGACTTCTTGGCACCTGTGCACAAATAGGTGCTTGCACTGTACATTAGCAATGGGATAAATTGTGTCAACTGACCATGTCCAACTTGCAAAAGATCTCTTCCTGTGTGCAGTAAACTCCTGTGCCTCCTTTCCCCCCTGCTCCAGACCTGTCAGTACAACCTGGCTTCCCCAGTGCCCCTAGTCATTTCCTCTCTCTGCTTCCCTCTCTTCTACATCCCCCTGCCTGCCTGAGGACCAGGACATAAAAAGCCGCAGGCACAAAGTTGAATGGAATCATGGATCTTCCTGGTTGGGTTAGGAGGAAGGTGGAGCTACTGATGATGGCAATATGGTTCAGAGGGAACAGAGACTGTGGGATGCAGTAACCTTGAGTGCTTCCATTCAGGCTTTGGGGGCAGTCCTAAGGCAGCTGTAGAGGTGAACTTCCTTCCTGCACCACCTCCTGCTCAGTGGATGAGGGGTATATGGCTGTTCCTCTCCATGACTCCCAGTGCCTCTATAACCTCTGGGCTTCACCCATTCCCCCTTCTGCTAAGAAACTGCTCCATACCTCATGGGCCTTGGAATGGCTAATGTGAGTTCACTGAGCACACAAGGCCCGGATGGGCATATGGGAAGCGAGAACTTGAATGCAGGTCGTTTTCTTGGAGTATGCAATCCAAGGGAAACAGCGAGGACCACGGCCAGCAGGTGAAATGACCTCCTCTGCTCAGAACGGATCACCTGCATTTGGTTGTCTTGCTACCCTACATTTAAAAAATTTAACAATTGTAAACATGACCACATTTAGTGTTGTCATGAAGAAATAGTATTTTCCCCCATAAATCTGTATATATAGTATTTCCCAATTGAGATTTCACTTTTTTTTGTTGTTGTTGGTTTTGGGCCTGAACTCTGGGCCTGGGCACTGTCCCTCAGATCTTCAGCTCAAGGCTAGCGTGCTACCACTTGAGCCACAGCACCACTTCTGGCTTTTTCTGCTTATGTGGTGGCTGAGGAATCGAACCCAACGGCTCATGCATGTGAGGCAAGCACTCTACCATTGAGCCACCTTCCCAGCCCTACATTAGTTTTCTTTCCTTTGTTCTTGTATTTGAACGCAGACTGAAAATGATGCTTTCTTATCATCATTAAAGCATTATTCCTTGTTTTTTTGTTTGCTGGTCCTGGGGCTTTAACTCAGGGTCTGGGCACTGTCTTTGAGCTTTTGTTCTAAAGGTTAGTGCTCTACCACTTTGAGCCACAGCTCCACATCTGGCTTTTTGTAGTTAATTGGAGATAAGAGGCTCATGGATTTTCCTGCCCAGACTAGCTTTGAACTGCGACCCTCACATCTCAGGCTCCTGAGTAGCTAGGATTACACTTGTGAGACACCAGCATCTGACTAAGATGTCATTCTTTAGGTTGGAATCAAGGAATCATTTTTTAAAATTGACTACTTAACAGTATGTACATGATGTACCCCAAGACTACCACATACAATAAAGTCTTTTTGTGAAGTATCTTGTAGAGTTTGTCCTATCCTTACTCTCCTTGATCCAGGGCTTAGATCCCAGTACTGGCCATGTATCTTGAGTGTGGTTCCCAAGCCCCCTGCTCTCTTCACCCCTCCTCTTCAACCTGTCCTCACGTTCTGACTCAACTGTGCTGAAGTTTCTTCATTTCAATTACTTTTAGACTACAGATCCTGCTGGCCCCATTGGCAGCAGTTCTTCCTGGGTTCAGAAGAGAGCTGGCTCTTCACCTATATGGGGAGATATAGCCCCTTCCCAGCTCTGAAATCCATCTCTAAGGCTGCCATGCTGGGGCTAGGGTCTCTTCAATGCTGAGGGTTAGTGAATTCAGGCCTAACCTTTTAAGAAAGACACAGACATGGTGTCAGTCTCCCTCCCTGGATGAACCATAGAGAAGTTTCCAAAATATCCGGTTTGTGGAGAAGCAGCTTGCAGAATCTTTGTGTTTTGCTACCCAGTGTGTGCTTAGATTCTTAGCCGATGGGTTTTTCATGGGAGGTGCACAGCCCAGAGACCTATTTGGATAATATTCCCCAAATAAGGCACAATCTGCCTCAAAGGTGTGTGATGATGTCAACTTTGGGCCAAATTAGAAACCATTGAAAAAATATTTCTGTTCTGGTCCTGAGCCCTGAACTCAGGGCATTGGTGCTGTCTGAGGTTTTGTGCTCAAGGCTGGTGCTCTACCACTTGAGTCACAGCTCCATTTCTGGCATTATTTTGGTAGTTTATTGGAGATAAGAGTCTCATGAGCTTTCCTACCTGAGCTGACTTTGAACTGCAACCCTTGCATCTCTGCCCAGTGAATGGCTAGGATTACAGGTATGAGCCACTTAAATGGTCAAAGCCACTTAAATTTCTATATTTTGTTGTCTCTCTACTAACTTCTATTTATTTAGTCCCCCAAACAATTAAGTCCTTAGTTTAGAATGTGGGTTGCAGGCCTGTGGTTCTAGGGCTGGGTGTGGTCTCTCTGTGTCTTGGCTGGAGCCTTGTTGCCAGGCTGCATCCTCCTTCCTGCCCTGCCTTTCCTTTTGAAGGCCCCAAGTCCCTGCTCCTTATTACAGTCTGCACTGCATCCCAAGGCTGCCTGGATAGTATCTCCCCAACACAGCTCCTGCTTCTCTGTGCAGTGCTATCCACAAGTCCTTTCCCACCAGGGCTTCAGGGAAGAGGATGAGAGGTAGGCTACAGGAATTGGCTATGATCCCAAGACCACTGAGGGAAGCAGAGGTGGGGTTATGTGTATGTAGCTCTGTGTCTATGCATGCTTGTATGAAGGTGTGAATGAGACTTCCACAGAGCCTGATTCTTCTCAGGGGCACAGTCAGCTTCATCTCCTTACTGAAGCTCCCATAGTATTGGAGGAAGGGCCCCAAAGACCCCTACCTCCTGGGCTCATAGTCAGGCAGATGCTGCAACAGAGAGTAGTCTGCTAAGGTTGGTAAAGATGGGGCTGCTCTTGCATTTTAGGATGTGGTCAGTGGTCATTGCACTGGCCTTGCTTAGTGAGTAGTGCTCATATTTTCATGTGGAGCTGAGAGTAGTGGTTGCTCTCTCTAGGATGCCTTGCTAAGTTGCAGAAAGCCCCAAGAGCAAAGTTATCACGCTTCTTATTCACGCAACTTTCAGAATAGCTACATCATATGATGGTAAAAGCAATGCTGTGTGTGTGTGTACGTGTGTGTGTGTGTGTGTGTGTGTGTGTTCTAGTCATGGAGCTTACACTCAGGGCCTGGACACTGTCCCTGAGCTTCAAGGCTGGTTCAAGGCTAGCACTCTACCACTTGAATCACAGCACCACTTCCGGCCTTGTCTGTCTGTCTGTCTTTCTTTCTTCCTTCCTTCCTTCCTTCCTTTTCTTTCTTTCTCTCTCGCTTTCTTTCTCTTTTTCCAATCCTGGGGCTTGAACTCAGGGCCTGGACACTGTCCCTGTATTTGTGCTTCTTTTTCTTAAGGCTAGCACTCTACAACCTGAGCCATAGGTCCACTACCAGCCTTTTCTGTTTATGTGGTATTGAGGAATCAAACCCAGGGCTTCATGTATGCTAAGCAAGCACTCTACCACTAAACCACATTCCCAGCATAAAAGCAATGTTTTAGGTATTTGGTCACCTAAGTTAGCATCCAGAGTCTAGATGCCATCCATCTGCCACAGGATTTACAATAATGACCCAGCCTCATGGCGCAGCCACATTGCAACGTAAAGTTGACGGGTCTCCTTGTGGACTCAATTAGCTCCCTCCTGGGATAAGGCCTGACAGGGACTTAGCACAGCAAGCTACGCAGCCCATCTGCACCAATCATCTGACAAGTTGCCACTGACAAGTTGGGCTTTCATCTGTAGTTTCCAGCAGGGAACCATTGAAATAGAACAGAAAGACATTTGCATTTATTGAATTCTTACATAACAACTCTGTGAGCCCCAGCCTGGCACTCTAATTTCTAGGCTATGGTTAAAGAAACAAGTTCAGTGAATTTAAGAAATTCAGCTTTAAATTCCAAAGCTGATAAGTTCTTCTCCTTTCTTGAATGTGGAAAAGAATTCCAAGTCCTGCTTAGGATGGCTGACACATAGAACATAATGTTCAAATATTAGAACATGGAGTCTGCAATCTTTTAAAAGAAAAAAAATAACCAAGATGATGTTCAAATAACGATCAGTTAAAACTTCTCTCAAACCCAAATGCCATACTTAATTAAATGTAGTGGTACAGGCGTGGAGGGCAGGCCTGTATTTTTTATAGTAGTCTAACAAACCTCTACTCCTTTTAATTTTTCTTGTAAAATGTTTTTCTTGAGAAACTGTGCATTGAGTTAGACATGTTCTATTCCTCTCCTTTTCTTTTCTTTCCTTTCCCTTCCTTCCTTCCTTTCTTCTTTTTTTTGTTGCCAGTCTTGGGGCTTGGACTCAGGGCCTGGGCTCTGTCCCTGAGCTTCTTTTGCTCAAGACTCGCACTCTACCCCTTGAGCCACAGTGCCACTTCCACTTTCTGCTTATGTGGTACTGAGGAATTGAACCCAGAGCTTCATGCACAGTAGGCAAGCACTCTACCATTGAGCCACATTCCAAGCCCTACCTCTCCTTTTCATAGTGAGCTTTGAAGTCACATCAGCATCTCCAGTTCTAGAGGACAGATAGAAGCTTCAGCAGGTGGACAAAGTCATATGAATGGGAAAGCATGGTGAATGCTAAACCCTTCCTAAAAGTCTTTTCTTAGTGGTAACTTTTTAAAATATAGATATAAATATATTAAAATAGATTTATATTAAAATATAAATACATATAAAATAGAAAAGAAAATATTTTATATTAAAATACAAACTTTAAAAATTTTATTGTTATTATTAAGGTATTGTACAGAGGGGTTGCCAGTTCATAAGTCCATGTCAGCCCTTCTCCCACTTTCCCCAAATCTCACCTTCCCAATCTGTCCACAAGTTATTTAGTTCATTTCCCATATGGTGGTCATTTTTGCAAAGATTAACATCACACTACTGCTGGGCTCAAGTGGACCGGAGTTCAAATCTCAGCATAAGCTAAATAGACATATAACCATGTGTTGGTTAGAATCACCACAAAAATCTCAATTCACTCTTTTTTTCCTGTGCTAGTGTTGTGTGTGGGGGGGGCAAACCTTAAAAATATTTGTCTCTTATTGTACATCTGACAAACATAACAAAAAATTTCCGAATTGCTTGTTCCACTGAGAGAGAGCTGAAAACTTGTGCTCATAACATGCTATATTAAAAATACTTTTATCTGTAATCTGTTTAACTATTTAAAAGAAAAAGCTCTTGGTTAATTCTTTATAACCACTGTCAGTTTCACCATGTTTCTATTGGGTCTCTGTGATTCCATTCTGTGAAGGCTTGCCACATTTTCTGTGTTCTTTCCCTCCCTCCCTCCCCCCTTCTTTCTTTCTTTCCTTCCTTCCTTCCTTCCCTTCCCTTCCCTTTCCTTTCCTTTCCTTTCTTTTCCTTTCCTTTCCTTTTCTTTCCTTTCCTTTCTGTCTCTCTGTCTCTGTCTCTCTTTTGTTGCAAAGCTGAGGACCCAACTCAGGGCTTGGCAGGCAAGCATTCTTCCACTGAGCTAAATCCCCAACCCATCACCTCAACTGAATGCTCTAATCCAGAAGTGAGGGTGGAACAAAGCATTAGAGGAAGGAGTCTTTTTGTTTTATTTTATTTTTTAGAAAGAGTTCTCTTGCTAAGTTAACCAGTGGCCAAATCCTACTAGCATTTACCAGCTTCTAGTTATGCCTTGTTTATGCTTCTGAAGTTTTTGCCTTATCTTCCCTCTTATGAAACTTGTTTGTCTTCCCTTGAAGGGGGTGTACTCAAAACTGTTAGCATGACTGCTTCTACTCTCTCAGGGGCAGGAGGACAACCAGCTGTTTCCAAACCTGGTGTCAGCCCTTCTCCCTAAAGTGTTCTAGAATTGTAGAAGTCTAAGAGAGAAGATGCCAGTGCAGGACCACTCTGTAGCTCTCGGGTTCTCAGAGAGACAAGAGCACATGTATTTAGTTATACAGATGTGGGTTTAGAACTCTATCAGCTAAAGCCAGGTGCTGGTGGCTCACGCCTGTAATCCTAGCTACTCAGGAGGCTGAGATCTGAGGATCGCGGTTCAAAGCCAGCCCGGGCAGGAGAGACCGTGAGACTCCTATCTCCAATAAACCACCAGAAAACCGGAAGTGGCGCTGTAGCTCAAGTGGTAGAGCCCTCGCCTTGAGCTGAAGAGCTGAGGGACAGCACCCAGGCCCAGAGTTCAAGCCCCACGACCGACAAAAAAAAAAAAAAAAAAGAACTCTATCAGCTAGCTGGCTACACTGTCACCCATTTCCCCCCCTCATAACAGTGACTTGCTTCTAGACATTCAACCTGCACGGGCAGAACAGAACTGCGGAGCTTGTCTTATAGTAAATCTTTTATATACGACACTCAACCTATAAGTAAGATTATAGGATTACAAGAGATTAAGATGACAAGATTATGAGGGCTATTTTTTAATGGCTACAGAGTTTCCATCCTGTGAGATGAGGAACATCCTGGAGTGGATGGTGGTATTGGATGAATGAGCTTAACGCCATTAAACTAAACACTTCAAAATGGGCAAAATGTTCAGTTCTATGCTATGTTCCCCCACCCCCCCAATTTAAAAATGATTACAGGAGCTTAGTGCTGGTGGTTGGGGCTTGTAATCATAACTACTCAGGAGTCTGAGATCTAAGGATCCTTGTTCAAAGCCAGCCCCAGCAGAAAAGTCCATGAGACTCTTATCTTCAGTTAACCAGAAAGAAGTCAAATGTGGAGCTGTTGCTTTAGTGGTAGAATGCCAACTTTGAGAGAGAGAGAAAAAAAAAACCAAGTGAGAGCATGAGGCCCCAAGTTCAAGCCCCAGTTAAAAAGTGATTACAGGTTCTGGGTGAGGCATTTTTTTCTGATTATTGATATACTTGGTCCAAAAAATCCCCCAAAACAACAGTTTCCAACAATTGTCACTTAGTCCATTATCTGCAAATATTTGGTATTATCTTTATAACTCTCTAGACATAGAATATGTGTGTGTGTGTGTGTGTGTGTGTGTGTGTGTGTGTGTGGGTGGGTGTATACCTGTACCAACCATGCAATTAAGGAAAGCAGACAAAGGAGCACTCAAGAGTTAACAATATGCAACAAAATAACCAAGATGGTAAATCCAGTATTAAATGAATGTACAAACAAGAAATACTTGGGCGTTTAAGGCAATTGGATTAACTTGTTATTTATTTTGCATTTAGAAGATCTACAAAACATAAAAAGGTCAAGAAGTATAATTTCCTTTGGGGTTTTCAAAATACTTATCTAGGATCAACTTTAGGAATCCTCAGTTTCCAAGGATGAGAAGCAGCTGATAACTGGAATTTGATCTTTTTTTTTTATGGGTCCCAGAAGCACTCAGGTCTTTGTTCACTGCATCATCGCCTCAGTTTTCTTCCTGTACTTCAGTTTTGGAAGTGATGGAACTACTAAGACTCACCCATGTTCTCTCTTCCCCAGGGTAAAGAGGAACGGAGGCCTGCTACTCACCAGGCGAATCGAAGATCTGTGGGAGCTCCATCCATCCTTTGACATAGTGGTCAACTGTTCAGGCCTAGGAAGCCAACAACTTGTAGGAGACCCCACAATAGCCCCAGTAAGGGGTCAGTTGCTTCAAGTGCAGGCTCCCTGGGTGAAGCATTTTATTAGAGATGGGAATGGGCTGACATATATTTACCCTGGCACATCCCATGTAACCCTGGGTGGAACGAGGCAAAAAGAAGACTGGAATCTGTCCCCAGATGCAGATATTAGCAGAGATATTTTTTCACGATGCTGTGCTCTGGAGCCTTCCCTCCACAAAGCCTATGACATCAAAGAAAAGGTAGGCTTGAGGCCTTACAGGCCAGGCGTGTGGCTGCAGAAGGAGCTCCTAGCCCAAGAAGGAAAGAAGCTGCCTGTGGTTCATAACTATGGCCATGGGAGTGGAGGCATCTCAGTGCACTGGGGCTCTGCTCTGGAAGCCACCAGGCTGGTGAAAGAATGTGTCCAGTCCCTCAGAACCTCAGCTTCTACCTCAAAGCTGTAGATGACATGAACTGACAGCAAATAGTCCCAGAAACCACTACTGAAAGCACAATTGAAAGTCCAGAACAGGTTCAAATAACTTTTGCATTGAGTGAAAGTTCAATTAGATATTTTTTGTTTTCAATGTTAGGGAATGATGCAAAATATATCAGTAGACTTAGGAAATCTGCCACTAATGTCATAGAGGATAAAGCTCCATTTTTGTTAAGACAAATCCAACAACAAAACACTTGTTAAATAGGTACAATTTCTTTTGTGGATTAAACCATTCACCAGAGTCTTCATGATCAAATCATCTCTGCAACCATCTGCACCCACTCCCAGAGGTGTGCGTTCCTGGTCTCCTAGGATTTTATCAATCTGATCAAGTTGACTAGATTAACCATCACAAAGTTAAAAAAAAAGATTAATCATCACAATTACCTGAGGTTTGTGTATTTTGTTGCCACAAAGAATTGAGAGCTGGTTTATTGTACAGTTGAATTTGCCTGAGCACTTTTGAAGATTGAGTAGTGTATGTAGCCAAAGAGCTAATTTGCTGATTGGCACCATCAGTCAATCAATAATCAATATAACTAAGATGTGTTTTGCTGATGTTAAAAAAATTGGGGAAGGGAATTGGATTTCATGTGTTTGGGAATTACTGAGTTAAATAAATATAACCTGATTTCTAGACTCAAGTCTAATTAGACTCTTTAATATGTCCATATATATTGTGATTCTTTAGGAAGGTTTTTGTTTTCGTTTTTAGATTGGGTGATTGGGTAATGAGGTGCTATTCAGGGAGGTAAAGAAACCTGAAGTGGAAAATAATTTTGGGGGAAGATAACTTATATTTGGATGTTTAAAAAAAATAATTTCTGCATTGGATATCCTGAGGGAGATGTGAGGTTGGCCATGAAAATGTGAGAAAGAAAAGGCTCCTAGCAGAGCTCCATTTTAACTTCTGTTTGTTGAACTTATGCCTATGACTTTGTTCAAAGAGAATATCCTGCTAGGGACCAGAGTAACTAGTGTAACCAGAATTTTCAGACACTAAAGCGCTCATGTTAAATCAAGTGTGAGAACCAGGAGCTGGGTGCTGTGGCTCACAACTGTAATTTTAAATTACTCAGAAGGATGAGATAAGAGCATCACAGGTTGAAGTCAGCCTGGGTGGAAAAGTGTGTGAGACTCTTATATTGAGTTAACCATCAAAAAGCCAGAAGTAGAGCTGTGGATCAAGTGGCAGAGTACTAGCCTTGAGTGGAAAAAAGCTAAGGGAGAGTATCTGGTCCTGATTTCAAGCCCCAGTACCAGCTGACACACGAGTGCGCGCACGCACGCACACACACACAAATGCTGTGGTGTCTTTTCTATAGATTTCCACCAGGGGGCGGTGGTGCATCAAACTCGAATGAGACACTAGAAAAATTAAAGATTAGAAAGAAGAAATAGATGCTGTTGAGAGAGAGAGAGAGAGAGAGTTTTTGAGAGTTACTATGGTCAACATTCTACATTTTATTTAAAGTATGTGAGGAATATATGAGTTTACATAGATTGGAAACACATTATATACATCACCCACAGTATGTGACAAATAATGTATCAATAAACTGGCTTCTTAAAAAGAAGAAATAAATAATAAAATAAGTGAAGAATGACACTTAGCATGGGTAGTATTTCCTCCAATCTGTAGCGTTCTCATTTTTTGGGTAGCTAATTCTCACAGGCTAAACTTTGACTAATTTGTTACTTCAGTTGGCATTTTCTATTCCTAAACCTCAACTTTGTAAGTCTGGAAGACTGGAGAGGCCTTCTTGGCTACCTGCCCTGATATCATTCTCACTAATGACTAAATATTTGTTCCCTGGGTCTCTCAAAGGCTATTCATTTTGGTTGTTAGCTGCCAGTCTGATTGTATCTTAAAGTCATGTGGGAAAATTTGAAGAAATTCTGATGGCAGTCTTGTGTTATTAAATCAGAATTTGGGGTGGGGGATGGGATGGAACTGCAGCACCAGTATTCGTTCAAAGCTGCCTACATGGTTGGAAGCCATGGAAGACTTTCCTTCCCCTTCTCTGAGGGTTCCCTGCTACCCTAACCACCCTCCTTACCTTCCTCTATCACTGCTTGGGTCACCAGAGCAAAGAGCTGATATGCTCACAGCGGTGTCCTTAGGCCCCCAGGATAAGGAAACATGTTTGAATTAACTCTCTCAAACTGGCTTTCCAGAAAAGTTGGAAATTACCTGACTGGCTAGGTCAGGTGCTGAGAGACAAATGTCTGTCTGAAAGATGTGAGATAGAATACACAAATGGACAGCAAGCAGCCAGACCAAATATGTCAATAGAGCTCTGATCCACAGCCTCCTGCCCAGGAAACAATCCCCTTATCTACAATGAACAGCCCAGGAAGCCAGCCTGCTGTGTGTCAGACTTGCAGGACATCGATGGCTATCTCTTGTGGCCACCCAGAAAGCTGAACAGTGACTTCTCTAACAACGGACACAAAATGATCAAGAAATGATGAATAACCAGTAGCTTTGCTAATTTTTGTTCCCCTCTTCCTATGGTAGATTAACTGAAAAAAGCAAAATATGCACCCTAACCAGACACATAGGATGTCTTACTTCGGGATAAGCCACCTATGGCTTTCCCAGGCTAAAAGTTTCCAACTAGGGCATTTCTGAGCCTTTCCCCTTGTCTATACTAAAGCTTTCTCACATCTCTGTCTGCCTTTGAATAACTGCCAAATACAAATGAATATCTAACAGCAATCATTAAAGAAACAGTCTTTCATTTTTCCCATTAGCATTTTCCATTGAGACATAAAAACCATAAAAAAATCCCCAACATAAAAATATAGAGAAAGAGATTTATTATAAAGGATAGGCTCTTATTATGGAGACTGAGAAGTTCCATAATCGGCTGTCTTTGAGATGGAGGTCCAGGAGAGCTGGTGGTATAGCTCCTACCTGAGTTTGAAGCCTGAGAACCTGAGTATGGCATGCTGGAGTGCTGACCATCTTAGAGCAGAAGACAGATGTCTCAGTTCAGGTAGAAATGAAATTCACCCTTCTTTACCTTTCTATTCCATTCAGGCCCTTCCAATTGCCTGATGACTCCCACTTTGATGAGGCAGTCTACTGAACCCAGATTCAGATGCTAATATCTTCCAGAGATAACTTCACAAACACACAAATAATAACATGCTACTCACTATCTGGGCACCCTTTAGCTCAGTCAAGTGGGCACATAACATTCACCATCACAACTTCTTTATTTCCATAAACATTTCCTGCATGTGTAAGTTGAGATCTTTCTCAGGGATCCACCCTATTGCCTGAGAATAGACTATTTTCTACCCTTCTCTTGTTTCCTCTTTCAGAGCATCTTTTATTTTATTTTTCCTGCTTATGTGGTGCTGAGGAATCGAACCCAGGGCCTCACGCATGCAAGGCAAGCGCTGTACCACTGAGCCACCTTCCCAGCCCAAGAACATCTTTTATTATTGTTATTTTTTTTCTGAATACAACTGATTTCTGTCTTAAATGCTTGCTTTCAAGTGTGTGGCTGTTGTGGTGAATGTGTGCCCGCTGTTCTGCGACGCAGGGGAGCGAGGTTGCTTTGTGGCACTGCCATTGCCAGTGGGGTGCTTCTGCAGACAAAGGCTATGTACAATCTTTTGGGGTTTTATTTGCTGAGGAAGAAATGAAAATGCACAGAAAGGCCAGAGCCCAGTTGGAAACAGTTGTCTAGAAGATAAGCTATTAAAAAAAATGACACGTATTCCTTGGATGGAATTGTATGCATTCAAATCAATTGATGTTTGAGCCAATTTACTCAATCAATTAACAGCTTTTAAGGAGCTGGAGGGAAAGGATGGTGGGGCTGTGTCTGCTGGAAATGTAGTTCCTGGAACCTGTTCCGTACTCTCCTAACTTGTCAAATATTTGAAATGAATGTGGTACTCATTGGTTTTTTTCTTGATTCCTTTTATATTTCTTCTTAAAGGTGGGAAGGATGGAGACACATTTGAAGCCTGTTACTTCAAGGCATCTAGCATTCACTAGAGGACAGCCAATTGACATGTTTAAATGGTGTCTTTTTTTTTCTTGAAAAAATCCCAGCAGTTTGCTCCCAGGCCTAGAGGCTTTATTATCCTAAGTGACTTTGCTGCCTATAAAGTATTGCACTAAGTAGCCAAAGGGAAGGAGTTAACTGGAGCCCTTAAAAATATAACCAATGTTTCTTCAATTATTAGCAGGACAATTGACTTCCATCTGTTCAGGGCACTGCTGACCTGGCCTGAAGCCATGTTCTTACAACTCGAAGGCCCAGAGCCTGCTGCCCTCCAATGATCATTGTTACCCTTGTGTTTGTCGTGCAGTATCTCTCCACTCCCGGACCTGTCCTGACTATACGGACTAAGGTCATCTAGCAATGGAACTCAACTACTGCGGAGGCTGCTCCAAAGGGTCTGCTGTGCCCAGCCTTTTTCCTGGAAACCTTCTTGAACTTGGGGGTTCTACTCCAGGGGAAGTTTTCCCTCATCTCTTTGGTCACAGACAACTAGCATTTAGGTTTAGAGTTGGTTGCTAATAACAGAAACCCTCTAAATATCTGCTTTAAAAAAGACATGTAATTTTCTGTGATATAAAAGAAGCCTGTATGTACGCAGGCTACGCCTGTGGCAGGGACTCCACGGCCATTGGTGACTCAAGCTGTATCTTCTCATACACTGTTATCTCAAGGATGTGGCTCTTTTGCCTCAAGCTTCAAGAAAGCAGCAGAAGCTCCAGCCATCACATGCATCATCATATCCATTCCCCAAAGCAATGGGTTCCAAGCCAGGTACCAATGGCTCATGCCTGTAATCCTAGCTACTCAGGAGGCTCAAAGCCAGCCTGGGCAGGAAATGTCCAGGAGACTCTTATCTCCAATTAACCACCAGAAAACTGAAGTGGCTCTGTGGCTCAAGTGGTAGAGCACTCACCTTGATATGTAGAGCTGAGAGACAGTGCCCAGGTCTCAAGTTCAAGCCTCATGACTGACAAACAAACAAACAAAACAAAGAAAGAAAGAAAGGAAAGAAATGAATTGGGCTGGGATGTAGCTCAGTGGCAAAGCGCTTGCCTAGCAAGTGCAACATCCTGGGTTCGATCCCCAGTACCAAAAAAGACAAAAAAAATAGTTAAAAAAAAGAGAAATGAATTCCAGTAGATTCACAGTTTTGCTTGCTTATTTATTTATTTATTTTTGCGGTCCGGTCGTGGGGCCTGAACTCTGGGCCTGGGCGCTGTCCCTCAGCTCTTCAGCTCAAGGCTAGCACTCTACCACTTGAGCCACAGCTCCACTTCCGGCTTTTTTCTTTTTGCTTATGTGGTGCTGGGGAATCGAACCCAGGGCCTCATGCATGCAAGGCAAGCGCTCTACCACTGAGCCACCTTCCCAGCCCCACAGCTTTGCTTTTATATCATTGCATAGAATTTGAACTTAGGGTTTCATTGAGACACAAAGAAGAAGGCAACAAAGTCTTCTGGCTTTGGTGATAATGTAAAATCCCAGCTTTTAGTCAGTTGAAAAGCTCAAACTATAAATTGATACAAGCCGGTCAGATTAAGAATTTGTACTGAAGAATTTCTGCAATTGTTTCTTGACGGTGGTAGGCCCTGGAGACAGGTAGGCAGCTGA